CTGAGCCTGGTACCTCTTTCCTGCAAGGAAAGATGCCTAGCAAATCCTCTGCAGTCGTAAAACATCCGCTGGGTGAGTCTTTTCATCCTTCATCTACAGCAACCCATGGTTCCTCTGCAACTAGGCCTTCATCCAATTATAATGGTCGCTCACAACAAATAATTGACCCTCAGAAAGGTAATTGGGATATCGTATTGCTCTTTAATAACTTTGTTATGTATTTGTTAATAAGTGACATAGCTTGAGATGTGTTTTTGTTTGATTTTATGTAACTTATTGCACAAATCTGGACAAATATTGTGGATTTTGTGCGCTAATCCTTCCCTCCTTATACACAGACAAAAAGAGAGAGAAGCTATTGATGTACTAACGTGTTTTAACTGGATCCTACATAGATGCCTATATTTTCTGGATCTAGCCTTGGTATTAAGGTCTATTGGATTTTGGAGATGGCATTTATGTAGCTTTATTACTGTAGGAAATTTTTATTGATTACATGTTTGCTTGAAAAATGTTTGGACTCATTAGTTTGCCCCTTATCATAATTGGAATATATAACCATCTTTGTTAAATGGGCATCATTAACCTTTTTGTTTTTAACTTTTGAGCAATACTAAATTCCATAGTAGGTTAATTGTAAATTTTGGGTGAAAACCATCATTATAACTTGGTAGGATAGGTGATGGTTCCTTTGCCAACAAAAGTAGAACCTTAAATGTCAGCTTAACCGTTAGAAGGGATAAAATGGCTAATATATTGTATCTTTAAGTTTGCTTGGTTTTTTATTTTTCATGTTTTTACCAATGGTTGAACAATCTTCAATGAAAATGTGTGGTCTTGGAACCTATTTAAGCTGATACTGACAAATCATTGAACCACTTTATGTTCTTATCTTAAGTTGGTTAAAAGGCTTCCAAAAGATAAGTATTAATAGTTCCCTATGTGTCATCAACAGTTGGTTCTAACAAGGAGTGGAAACCAAAGCCAGTAACCTCTAATGTTGGGCTAGGTGCCGGAATGGCTGGTGCATCTGAAGTTCCTACTGGTTCACTTGAAACTGTTGCTCAGTTGTCGCCTGTTTCAAATGTTCTCAACTCAGAAGTAGACACTTCAAAATTGCAGAAAAAGTTGGAGGAATTACATCTCCCACAACGTCAACATGTAATAATTCCCAATCATATCCATGTTCCGGAATCTGAAAGAACTAAGCTGAGTTTTGGAAGTTTTGATGCTAGTTTTGGAGTAGCATTGAACTATGTTGGTGGTCAGGAGAGTGATAAGTGTTCTACACCTTTGTCTGAGGCTTCTCAAGATGTAAATGAGACTGCAGAGGAACATGGTTCAAGGTTTGTTAAGAGTTTCCAATGGATGTAACCTTTTAATTCTTTTCTATTAGCAATGTTGGCCACTTTTTTCCCTAGAATAAGAAACTCTACCCTCTTTAGATATCATAATCTTGATACTATTTGGTCTCTTTTGCATACTTGGCTCATGTTATTTTCTTGTTATATTGTTGATTCCAGCAATCAAAATGCATTGGATACTGCTGAGGAAGGAGATTGCACTGATCGTCCTCAATCACCTACTCATGCACCTGGAAATTTGTCTGGTGATGGTGATGTTGCTTCCATTCCAGAGAATAATGAAAACAAGCAGGAGAATGCATTGCTCTCTGGAAGCCATCAACACTCTGCAGTAACATCTCCTAGCTATAGTTTTGGAATTGTGCCTCCTATGTTAGCACCGTTCGGAAATGCTGAATCTCAAGCACGTGAAGTTCCTCGCCTTTCAAGCTTTGTTGTGAGCATCCATTTCCACAGTTCTTTTCATTACTATTTGTCGCTCTTTTGGTTTCTATTACTTTTTCAAACTTAAAAATTTTAGCACGACTTTTATGTAGATAATAAAATAAATGAATCAGATTTCGAATTTGCAGGTTTTTATATTCTCATTTTGCATTTGGTTTTGGACTTTTGGTCGTTCTACTGGTTACAATAATATGAAATATTGTTTAAATAAAGTCGAGTGCACTATGCCAATTGTTGGCTCTAATACTACTTCCATTATTAAATACTTCAATCATCAGGTTCCTCAGCCATTTGACCCTGCAGCTTATTACGCCCAATTCTACCGTTCAAGTGCTGATCCTGATGGTCGTGTTTCTCCCTTTGCCTCTGGAGTTGCTACAAAGTACAATGGGAATGTTGCAGTTCTTCCTCCACAGACTTCTCAGTCTCCTCAAGAGGTTTGCAGAGATTATGATTAAGCACCTTGAATTTCTACTTGTTGAATATGTTATATATCTGTTATTGGTTGAATGAGAATATTGCTTTTTGTTCTCTAATTTACTTAGTTTTAGCCTTTTAGGCTTGCAAGTTATATCATGCTATATATGAAGAGCTGTTGTTGGCAGTGTTCTAGTAACATTGTTGACAACACATTTTCTTTGCTTTAGACTTTTGCCTGCTTGCAATTTGGTCCTGGGATACTTTTTCAACCTCACATGGTTAGTGGAGAGGATTACTCTAGGCAAATAATTTGGGGAAATTGACTTGGTAAATTATATATCTGGGCGGTTAGTGTTTTTTTTATCAAACTTTAGGGTAGTAAGAGAGTTTCTTTCAGTCTTAATAACTGTTGGATATTGGAGCTGATTTTCTTCTCTTGGCAGGGTGGAAACTCTTTGGTACTGACTACAACAAGTTCATCTCCAATAGTGACTCAAGCTGCTGGGATGATGCAAAGTTCTATGGCTGTGACTCAGCAACCAGTCCCTGTCTACCGATCAGCAGCTGGGGTGCATTTACCACATTATCCTCCAAACTACATTCAATATGCCCCCTTTTACTCACCTTTTATGTTCCTTCTCCTGCGATCCACCAATTTATAAACAACGGGGTGTTTCCTCATCAACCTCAGGCTGGTACTGTTTATCCTTCTGCACCAGCAGCACCAACTACAGGAGTCAAATTTTCACTTCCTCAATTTAAGCCCAGAAGTAATACACCAAATTCTGCTCATATCGGAATGCCAAGTGGTTATGGACCATATGGCTCCTCCCCAGCCGGTTATAATCCAAGTTCTGCTGCGACGACTGGAAACTCAACCACAAATGAAGATCTTGGTGCTGCTCAGTTCAAGGAAAACAATGTGTACGCCAGTGGGCAGCAGGTTGACACCGTATTCTCATTTTGCATCTTGCTGTGATTTATTTGTCTTATTTCTTAAAGAGTTATTTGTGACATATGAGAATGTTTGAAACAATTATTTTGTAGGTTCAAGTCCCAATTTTTTCTAGTTTTCTTTCCCCAGTAATGATCACATCTATCGTATGACACAATCTTTATATTATAGTAGATACTAGCGAACCAGCCATATAATATGGACTAAATTTGCAAAATAAGACAAGAATGTACGAGTGAGCTAAGTGCAGAAAATAAGACGATAATGTAAAACTAGTAGTTTTGGTCGTGGCTTGTATTTACAACAATCTAGAGCGTTCTTTGTGAAGTGTTTGTAATGGCAGACAGGATAAACAAACTAATACCTTTCTTTTACTTTTAGGAAAATTTAGGGGCCATTAGTTCATTGATAGTGGTAAATGTTGTTTGTGTTTGAATTGGGCCCCTCATTGAGTGTTTTTTTTCTCTTCTTTTTTCCATTTCCTAACATTGCAGTTTTGAGAAGTTTGTAAATTTTTCCTTCCAATGTCCGTTGAGCTACCTTTGTAGCTTGACGGTTACGAAGGTGGTTTTTAACAAAGCTTATCTTTTCTATCAAAAAGAAGTTTGTAAATGCCATTTTTCTGTTTGTTCCGGTATAGGGAGTCTCTTTGGTGTAGTTGATCCTTAATTTCTGCTTCATAATCAAGATAAATTCCTATCCTTTTTTAGACCAAGGACATTGATGCATGAAGTTCATCTTAATTGATTGCCTATCAATGCTCTGATCATGTTCTCATCACTTGATTTGTTTGTCTATTATGCTTCTACATGAGAAAGTTGCTTTTTTCCTTTAAGCATTCTCTGCTCTGATCAGGGATAAACATAGGTTTTGTAAAGAGAATGTCATTGGGATTTTGACATTCTTGATTTTGACATTCTTGAAAATACATCATGTGTTCTTTTCTCTCTCCAAACAACTTTCCCTTCTAAATTGATTCTTTAACCTATATTACTTTCTTGCAGAGTGAAGGTTCAGCTGTATGGATTTCTCCCCCTGGGCGAGATATTTCCAACCTACCAGCTAGTTCATTCTATAATCTTGCCCCTCCGGGTCAGAATGTAACTTTTGCTCCAACACAAGTTGTTCCTGGCTCATTTGCTGGTATATATCATCCACAAGCAGAAACAGCCGCAGCTGTTCATCCTCTTCTACAACGGGCTCAGACTATGGCTGGAGCTGTTAATATGGGGGGATCTGCTGCCGGTGTTTATCGGCAGCCTCAACATGCACAGATGAACTGGCCCAGTAACTACTGAAACAGAGACAGATATCTTCTTTTTTTGTAAACCACCCAACTAACCAAGACATTCAAAATCCAGTCTTAAGAGTATTTTTGGGAACTCCAATAGGTTTGAATGGGAGGGAGCACCAAGAAGATACATCATTGGCCAGAATTGAAAAAGTGTAAATCTGTTTGAGGATGTCGAAAAAGAAAAACTCGTCAATAGTATCATCTGTTTTGCTAGGGTTGAGAGCATAAATGATCCAGTTCGCTTGTAACTGTTATTGACCATTAAACGTTGGTGAAGATAAGGATCTGCAGGTCTTTCTCTTGCTATATGGTATTACCAATTTCCTTTTTCTTAGTTTAAAGCTAATGCTCCCCCCTCCCCAACCACTTTTTTTTCCCTAAAGTTTTTGAAGTAAGAATTTTAACTATTGAGTGGTGAGAATATGTTCCATTATTTTTCCCCCAAGGGTTTTTGAGATTTTAAGGTTGGTGGACAATTCTTTAGTCTTGTCTTTTACCTGTAAAGAGAATTTCAATAGTAAGGATGTACCGAACTGTTGTAATTGGTATAAGCAAAAGCCAATATTAGTAATTTGTCATTAGTCTTCACAAAGATCCATATTATATAGAAAATACGTACATTAAACCTATTTCTTAAATCCTACTTTAATCGACACCATTGAGCACTGCTCAACATTTCTGTTATCAAAGCAAAAGGTTAAAAAAAGGCCATACGTCCATTCACTTCACATGGCTCCTATTACCATCTTTTTATTTTTGCAAAGGGACGAACCTAGAATGACCATTGACACTTTATCATTAGGTTTTTCAGTATATATATTATACAATATGAAAGGGATACTACTTGTGGGTTTTGAGATTTGTCGGTGTACAAACCGTTTTCTTTTCCAAGTTCTCTGTATCCCACTCGAAGGAAAATAATGTCAATCTTCTTGGCCTTAAGGATAATGCTTCTTCTGCAACTCATCAATAATCCCTCCAAAATCAGGTTTCATTTCTGCTAACCTATAACTTATGTTTTTGACCGATATTGCCATGATTTTCAACTTTGATCTATATATATGATCAGCCGGGGAGTTTGAGCAGTGGTGCATAGCTGATGAGCAAACCCCAGACGATGAGTTGAAGGCAGCCATGGACTGGGCTTGTGGGAGCGGCGGTGCAGATTGCAGTAAGATTCAGATGAATCAGGCTTGTTGTTTTCCCAACACCATGAGAAACCATGCTTCCTATGCATTCAATGATTACTTCCAGAAGTTCAAACACAAGGGCGGATCTTGCAACTTCAGAGGAGCTGCCATGATTACAGAACTCGATCCCAGTAAGCTTAGTTACCTAGATTAGCTATATTTTTTCCCCTTTATTATTTTGCATGGAAAATAACTTCTGGGGGGGAAATCCCATTTCCATGCATGCATGTGCCTAGCAAGTAGAAGGGTAAGCCATGTGGGCATTAGCTGGGGTACACGCAATGTAGGAAGCAACTTGCGTCTTAACAATGCTAAAAAGCAAAGCATTAGTCATTAGGGTATTAGCTGAAGCAGAAAGGAAGATGAACATGTTTAAGAGACCAGGATTATAATCCATGTGGGTGCCTGCCAGTGCCACTTTGGGTCAATTTAAAAAGAAAAGCAAACAAATAAACAAATAAAAACTCCTGGGAAGATTTAAAAAAGAGAGGTGTTTAGAAAATGAATCAGGGCTTTAGAAATTAGACATATCATTACTGATTCTCTTGTTTTGGACTGATCTTGTGTTCGCCATAATTCCTGCTGCAGGTTACGAAAATTGCCGATATGAGTTCATTTCTTGATCAAGAAGCAATTGCTTATGAGTTATGGTTGAAGCGATCCAAATCAGATTCAGATGTTGGTCTTTCTAGTTTTTATTTGTTGAGATTATGGAGATGTAATTTAAAGAACTATCTTATGTGAATGGCCTAATTCGTGGTGTGCGTCATGTCCGAATGATTGACACATCAACCTACACTCTTTACAAACTATGTAGGTCCAATTTTAATTGATTAATTCTTAATTTGAATCTGTCAAACAATTATAATTAATTAACTATTTCAATTTATGAAATTTAAAGTTTTATTAAAATATAAATAGTAAGAAGTACATTTTTCACGTATAGAAATAAAGGTTTTAATTATGAAATGTTATAATTATTTTTACCATATTTTTGACTGCCTTTTCACCTTCCAATTAAGAAAAATATATTTAACGTTATAATTATTTTTAGGGTAAATTACACCATTCCTCGTTGAACTTTATTCTCTCTCTTATTTTCCTCATCCGATTTTCAATTTGATCAATTTACTCATTGAACTTTACAGATTGAATCATTTTGCTCACTCTGCCGTTAACTATTTAACGATGTTATGACGTGACACATACATCATAACCGCGCCATTTTGAAAAACTCAAATATACTCCAAAACGATGTCGTTTCGGTGAGTAAAATAGGGGGAGAGAGTAAAGTTCAGCGACTCATGGTGTAATTTACCCTTTTTCCTTCTCTTATTCATTTTCTCTTCGCCGACCACTATGTCATTTTCATTTCGGCCACTGTAGACCGCTGATGGTGTCCGTTCGGTCCCAAATTTTATGGTCGGTTCGTCTTGACCCCCTGAGTTCGAATCTAGTGGTTGTTTTACTGGAAAATATCCCAAACCCCATGAATTTGGACTGAAATATTTCAATTTCCTCACTTTCAATCTCAAATTCGTAGACTTTGGAGCAAGTTCCAAAAAAATGGAGGTCGGCTAAAGGTGTTGAGGCGAAGCAACCCATCCCATTTTAGGACCGAACGACCACCATATATGACAGTCGACGGTGGCCGGCGGTGGAATCCGACCACTTTATGTTTTTATTTTATTTTTTAATTAATTTATATTAAATAATAAAAAAGCCACATCATCAGTTGTTAGAGAGAAAACGGTCGAGTGAGCAAAATGGTTCGATCGTAAAGTTCAGTGAGCAAATTGATTAAATTGAAATTTGGGTGAGGAAAATAGGAGAGAGAGAATAGTTTAGTGAAAAATGGTGTAATTTACCCTTATTTTTAATATATTTTGTTCAACAATCAAAATTTATATTTAAACATAGTTCGTATTTTTACGTAAAATTGTCTTAAAAGCAAGCTTTTCGTTTTAAGACAAATTAAGGAAGAAAATAAGGGTCGTGTTCCATTTTTTCTAGAGTCTCTTTCTATTTATAAGTATATATTTTTCCAAAACATCTCTATATTCTTCATCTTCCTCCCTAAATAAAGCTTGCGCATTGCCAATTTGTATAAATATTTGTAACTGAATTTGCATTTTTGGGTATAAAAGAAAAGAAAGATTGGAATTATTTTAAAGAAAAGGCTACCATTATAAGGGAATATTTATTTGAAGGGAGAAGGCAAGTAGAAGAGGAGGATGAAATTAACCTCCTCTGTTCTTATTCTTATCGTGCCTCCTCTCAGATCTTAGTTTTCCTCGTCAGATTTGGCACTTGGGGTTTCCTTTAATTGGTGGGTCATTTTTTTGTTGTTGCTGAATCTGATTCTGGATTTGAGTTTTTGTTTTAGTTTGTTTTGTTTTATCTGTTGCTTGAATTTCCCAAAACTTCAGCAGCTGTATCGACTTATCAACCATCTGGGTTTTGTTTTTTGGTTTTTTCCTTTTCATTTCTGAGTTCAGGTGAAGTTAATTTCTGGGTTGGTTGATTGATTGATCGTGGAAAGAGCTGTTTGTTTTATAATTTTGAACCACAGAGGAAAAAAACTTTTTTTGCATCGGATTATTCTTGTTAAAATGAAGGTATTGAATTGTATCTTCATTATTATGATTGGATTGCTATGTATAGTCAATAAAAGGCACACCTTTGATGTGTTATTATTAATTTGATTCACCTAAAAAGGAATGGGTTGGTATTGGTTTTTGATCGGTCTATTGTTCTTATTGTTGAAAACTAATCTTTTTATGTATTGTATTGAATTCAATAATGAATTGACTTTCTATGATACTAATGTAGAAAAAAATGTTTGAGAATGGAAAGCTATTTATTGGTGGGATAGCTTGGGACACAAATGAAGAGCGTCTCAAGGAGTATTTCAGTAGTTTTGGTGAAGTGATGGAGGCAGTGATCATGAAGGATCGAGCAACGGGACGAGCTCGTGGTTTTGGTTTCGTTGTTTTTGCAGACCCGGCTGTTGCTGAGAGAGTCATCAAGGAGAAACACAGCATTGATGGCAGGATGGTGGGTTATTAATCTATAAGCACACTGTTTTAGATTATGTTGTGCAATGTACTATTAATCAATGCTATTAGGTTATTGAAGCTAGAGGTGAAACTTAAATTCCTTAGGAATTTCTATCATCCTGGTTTCTTGTCCAACCAAATTTCAAAGTTGATTCTTGAGTAATAACGCTTCTTATATATCTTTTTTCTTTGCAATGATGTTGGTTATGATTTATATTCTCTTTGATTAGTATTGTTACTTGTATTGAGCTCAAAGAGTTTGTGTTGTTTAAGTTTTATTTTCACCACCGAGTTACTTATGCTCAGGTTGAGGCAAAAAAGGCAGTTCCCAGGGATGATCAGAGCATTATGAGTAGAAGCACTAGTAGCATCCATGGTTCACCTGGTCCAGGCAGCACGAGAAAGATTTTTGTAGGAGGTTTAGCATCTACAGTTACAGAAAGTGATTTTAAGAATTATTTTGATCAGTTCGGGAATATCACAGATGTTGTGGTGATGCATGATCACAACACCCAAAGGCCTAGGGGTTTTGGGTTCATCACTTATGATTCAGAAGAGGCAGTGGACAAGGTGTTGCTAAATAATTTTCATGAACTGAATGGTAAAATGGTTGAGGTTAAACGAGCAATTCCCAAAGAGTTATCACCTAGTCCCAATCATAGCCCCCTTTGTGGATATAACTATGATGTGAATAGGATCAACAGCTTCCTTAATGGCTACAGTCAGGGATATGGTCCAAGCAATGTTGAAGGCTATGGACTTAGGATGGATGCAAGATTCAGTCCGGTTACTAGTGGCCGAAGTGGGTTTCCTCCTTTCGGTTCTGGTGATGGAATGGGCATGGACATTGAACCCGGGTTAAATCAAACTTTTGGAAATGGTGCAAACTTTAGTAATATGAGCTATGGACGGGGGTTGAACCCTTACTATGTTGGTGATACAAATAGATTTGGTAGACCTATTGGGTACGATGGAAGTAGCGGAGGTAATACTTCCTTTTTCAGCTCAGTTACCCAAAACCTTTGGGGAAACGGTGGACATGATTATAACAAAAAAGTTTCTTGTCCCGGTGCATATATGGGATCTGGAAGTGGGAGTATTGGAGGAAATTACTTTGGAACCAGTGGAATAAATTGGGGTTCTACAATATCCAGTCAATGTGAGGGGAATAATGTTTCTAGCAATAGTGTTAAATTTGGCTATGGAAGTAATGATAACAGCTTCGGTTTGGGGACAACAGGGCATGGAAGAAATAACCTGGCGCCAACATCAAATGGGGGTTACGATGGAGCCTTTGCAGACCTTTATGGTGGTGTTTCAGTTTATGGGGATGCCACTAGGCGATCGTCAACGTCTGAGCCAGATGTTTCTGGTTCCTTTGGCTATGGACTTGGCGGTTCCACTTCTGATGTTTTGGGTAAAAGTTCTCCTGGTTATGTTGGTGGTTATAGTGTTAATAAGCGACAAGCAAATATAGGTAAGTCTTGTTACGAGCGTCCTGATACATCTCTATAGTTTTCACTTGAGGAAATTCCTGCTAAATGCTTTACTATTTAGGTTCGTTGGAGTTTAGTAGCACATAACTTAAAAAAATTCGTATGAGGAATCTTCTAGCTATTTTTCGTTGGGCATAGCTCTTAAACTTGGCAGCACATTCCTATTTTATATGATGTTTCATTTCTCAGTAGCTGCATGATGTGCTTGCCAGGTTTATTATTAAGGCTAATAGACAGCCTAGGAGCATGATCACCAAGTCATTTATTAATCGAATATAGTTGTTTACTGTTACAATTTCTGGTAGACAACTTTGAACATATTCATCAAATGATTCATTCATTTACTAATGTGTATATCAAGAGTCCTGGTTGGCATTTCAAAGTTCTTTTATGACTGAACTATGTAAAAGTACTTAGGCTCTCGAGTTTGGATTACTGATTTATTGTTATGTAAAAAGTTTTCTGTTTGCTCATTTTCGCCAATACGGTCATAGATTGAACTTACACATTTTGATTTTTCTCATGGTTCAGGAATTGCTACCTAGAAAACTGGTTTTGGTTAAAGACAAGCTTAGGATGCAAAAGTGATCTGTGAGTTCTGCACATCTCCAGTCTTAATATGAAAAATGGTTTTGTTCTGGAGAATTGAATGTAGTGTTTGAGAGTGCAAGGGGTTAAGGGTGATACCTTTTTAGGGGATATAGCGGTAAGTGTATTATGCATGTGGTGTGAATGGCCATACATGAAGTAAATAGATTTTGCAATGTATGCTTTGTTATTCATCCCATTTTGTTCCATTATTGGGTAGTGTCTATTTGAAAGATTTTTTTAATCATTTGACAATAAATGCACATACACCCCTACAAACATTGTGCTCGAATAATTGAATTGCACCTCTTCAAATCATTTTACATAATTTCTATTAAGTTTTGAACCTGCTCAATGTAAATACGTTCTTTGAATTGAAAAAACAAAAATTGTTCTAACTAATATCAAATAAAAAACAACAATTAGCTGAAAGAACTTGATCGATAATCTAATCTAAGTATTCTAAAAGAAGATTAAACTTTTGCGTCCGTTTCATGGCTTGGGAAAGATTTGCCATCTTCGACATACTTGCCCCAATAAGGGTGATTCTTCC